GGTGCCTTCATTTCATCTGAGTTTTAACGTCATCTTATTTGTATGCAGGGTTGAGACCACCAATATGAAAGACCTGAAGAAAATTGACGATAAACAGGCTAGAGTTGCCACATAGAAATTGATGGCAGCCTGGTAGGTGTTGGGCTGAATGCCGTTCCTCAACAGTAGAAGCTTGCATTGTAGGACATGCAGGCTCATTATCTGAAAAAACATGTTCTGTATAGAAGTTATTCTTGTTCTCTCAGCTCTCCTACAGAGATAAAGTAAAACATTGAGTGTGATGAGGGAGGGTGAGGGACGGGAAAACTGAGTGAGCAAGGGAGGAGTAATTTATGACTACATTGACAAAAAGTTCAGCATTACCTAGTGAAATTGGTACGGTTTTTTTTTTTTTTTTTTGCCCACGGTTGGTTTGTCCAGTCTCCAACGGAGGGTGAGAGACGGGAAGAGTGGGTGAGAAAGGGATGAGTAGTCTACTATCCGCGTGACCTGAAGTCACCATTCGGTTTAGTTTCGTTAGCAAAGGAAAAGGGGAGAGACTGGACAAAGGGAGCAATCTATGATCGGCAGTGATGGAAAGATAGCATCACGAAATAAATATGGTCAAGGCCAATTTGTTCACAATATCGTTTGCATTCAGTTTGCTTTGTCGAGTCTCACGTTTTTCCAACCGGTGGGTCTGCTTAAAACCAGGGTGCACATTCAACGCGGTTCGGCTTGAGATGTTGGGAAGGGGGTTTGGAGCAAAACAGTGATTGGCTCCCGAGGGCGACAAAAAAATGATTCCGCTAGAGCTTCTGGGCATTCGTAGGTGGCGGGATGGGGTGGAAATGGCGGGAGTGGGTGAAACCGAATGGCGGGAGGGATGAAACAGATTGGCGGGAGGGGGGGAACGAAATTGCGGGGGAGGGGGGGAAACAAAATTGCGGGGGAGGGGGGAAACGAATTTCGACGGGGAGGGGGAAATGAAATTGCGGGGGCGTGGGGAAACGAAATTGCGGGGGAGGGGGGAAACGAATTTCGACTTGTTGAAAACACACCTCGTAACCCACTCAGTCAAGGGATAACCTTTGATGCACATTCAGCTGAATGTGCACCCCGGTTTTAAGTTACTTGGCCGAAGCCAATCTCGTGAATTAGATTGCCACAGGGATTTTGACAAATGTTGATTTATTACTGAAACAAAATACAAGTCTGGCGCAAGGGTGCAAACTATACAATCTAGTACTCCTCGTTCTCATCATCACCAGGCTCGGTGGAGTCAGCCCCGACTTCCTCGTAATCCTTCTCCAGCGCAGCCAGGTCCTCACGGGCCTCCGAGAACTCGCCCTCCTCCATGCCCTCGCCGACATACCAGTGAACGAATGCACGCTTCGCGTACATGAGGTCGAACTTGTGGTCAATCCGGCTGAAGACCTCCGCCACGGAGGTGGAGTTGGAGATCATGCACACGGCACGCTGCACCTTGGCGAGATCGCCACCAGGCACCACGGTGGGAGGCTGGTAGTTGATACCGCACTTGAACCCAGTTGGGCACCAGTCGACGAACTGGATGGTCCTCTTGGTCTTGATGGTAGCAACGGCGGCGTTGACATCCTTGGGGACGACGTCACCACGGAACATCAGGCAGCAGGCCATGTACTTGCCGTGGCGAGGATCGCACTTGGCCATCATGCTGGAAGGCTCGAACGCGCTGTTGGTGATCTCAGCCACGGACAGCTGCTCGTGGTAAGCCTTCTCGGCGGAGATGACCGGAGCGTAGGAGGACAACATGAAGTGGATGCGAGGGTAGGGCACCAGGTTGGTCTGGAACTCGGTCACGTCGACGTTCAGAGCGCCGTCGAAGCGGAGGGAGGCAGTCAGGGAGGAAATGACCTGAGACACGAGACGGTTCAGGTTCGTGTAGGTGGACGCTCGATGTCCAGGGAGCGGCGGCAGATGTCGTAGATGGCCTCGTTGTCGAGGAGAACAGCGACATCGGTGTGCTCCAGGAGCGAGTGGGTGGAGAGCACGGAGTTGTACGGCTCAACCACGGAGGTCGACACCTGAGGAGACGGGTAGACCGTGAAGCCGAGCTTGGACTTCTTGCCGTAGTCCACGGACAGACGCTCCAGGAGGAGGGAACCGAGACCGGAGCCGGTACCACCGCCGACGGCGTTGAAGACCAGGAAGCCCTGGAGACCAGTGCAGTTGTCGGCAAGCTTGCGGATGCGGTCAAGGCAGAGGTCAACGATCTCCTTGCCAACTGCGATAAAAAAACGTAAGATAAAAGGAACGATTAGTAACAGATCGAAGTCACAAAAATGGAATTACTGAGTAAAATAGATTGTCAATATTAGAAGCATGAAGGAGGCGAGTCACTTACTGGTGTAGTGACCACGGGCGAAGTTGTTGGCAGCATCCTCCTTGCCGGAGATGAGCTGCTCGGGGTGGAACAGCTGCCTGTAGGCACCGGTCCTGACCTCGTCAATCACAGTCGGCTCCAGATCGAGGAACACAGCACGAGGGACGTGCTTGCCAGCGCCAGTCTCGCTGAAGAAGGTGTTGAAGGCGTCGTCGCCTCCTCCGCAGGTCTTCTCGCCGGTCATAAGCTGGCCATCAGGCTGGATGCCATGCTCCAGGCAGTAGAGCTCCCAGCAGGCGTTGCCGACCTGGATACCGGCCTGGCCGATGTGGACGGAGATGCACTCACGCATGGTGGCGAAGTTAGTATTCAAAAATCTACAAGGGTTCTGAAGGCTACGGAAAGCTAGAAGGCTAGAAGGCGGATAGCTCAAAGGCTCTCGTGTGACGATATCAGGTCGTCAACACTCGATGCGTGAAGCAGAAATGGTTCTGGGGAGGTTATATAATCCTTGTCACAGGTAAGCCAGCAGACAGAGGAGGCTGGATGAGAGTTTCTCCCTGACAGGGTGTGTGCCCCAGATCTGAATTCAGGAGGCAAACCTTGGTGGTTTGGTAAATTCCGAGCCAAGACAGTCTGGCACAATCCCTAGGCAAACGGGAAACCATACCTACGCGGGAGTCGTGGAAATATTCCCAATACGGACAGATCCCAAAGCGTCCGAGCTTCGGAGAAACTCGAGGCTGTCATGGCCCATCTCGATGGGCTTTTCCACTGGTCAAAGCGGCATTCTGAAATTCCTGAAGCACGAACCGCGGAGATAACGCGGGAACCCGCTGACATGTGTCAGGGACATTGGCGCGGAGAAATCCACTCACACACTGGATGGCGGGGTTACTGCATTCGCGAGCTTCGTGCAACGGAAAAATCAAGGCTGGCTGGGAGCTGATTCGAAGTGGCTGACCTCGGTCTTGGCGGGAAAAAGGGTCTCTGGTGGAGAGCATAGAACACTGCACTTGGAACTGCATAGAAAAAAAAAAAAGTAGCAAGTTAATACTTGAAAATATGTGCTACTTTCCTATGGTTCAACTATCATGGTTGACTGAGAACAGATCCTCCCAAATCGACTACATCACATTTTCTTGTTTTTGTGGTTGCAATACATGTGAGTTGCACCTTCATGATCCAAAATTCCCTACAAGTTATCCAATAAAAGGGAATCTATTCACTCCACTACTTGGCTTTGCCCTTACCCTTGCCACCAGGCAAGGGAGCAAGCCCCCCCCCCAGACCCAGAGGAGCATCCCCTTGACTTGCTTCTCCATTTGCCGTAGCTGCAGGCTTGCTTGCTGCCGCTGCTGCTCCCGCACCTTTCTTTCCTCCAGCTTTCGTGGGAGGCGGAGCTCCTGAGACAGCACCAACACCAACACCAAGGCCCACACCGCCAAGCCCAGCAGGCGCTGCCGAACCACCTGCCGAGCCAGCTGCCGGAGCAGCTGCCGAGCCTGTCTTGCTAGCGGAAGAGCTAGCCGCACCAGAAGCTGGTGACGTGCTATTGATGAAATTAATCAGTTCTTCCATGTCCATTGCACTGGGTGCACCGGCTCGGGCACCTGCCGAACCTGCAGCTCCTCGCAGGTTCACCCCCCGAGCCGCTGCTTTCCGCCGAGCCTCTGCAGCAGCCCTGGAAGCCCGCTCGTCCACACCTCTGGCTCGAATGCCAGTGCCTGAGGAGCCTGTAGCTCCCATGCCTCCGCCGAACCTGCCTGCACCAGCTCCGGGAGCAGGTGGGGGGACCTCTCCCCGAAGCAGAGCGTCAGCCACGGCACGCTGGTACGAGGTGGAGCCTCCTGCTCCGGGCGCTGCTGCTGCCTGCAACACCTGAAGCAGCTCCGGCCGTTGCTGAAAGAAAAGGAAGGCATGGGCAAGAGGAAAAGACGTAGATCAGGAATCCGAATCTAGACTATCTGCAGCACGCCAACAATGATGGCAACACGGACAAAGAATGGCAATGCTTTATGTGTTCGAAATGGCAGCCTCGGCATACCTTGAGAGCTTCGGCCACACGGAGAGCTGCTGCTTGTTGCTGCTGGACTGTTGCTGATGATTGCCCCACCTTCTGCTTTTGCGCCTGTGGAGACGTGGAGGGTAAGGGGAAAGGCATGGGAGAGAAAGCGAACAGAAGTGAGTGAGGGCTGCTGGTTGAGATACGACTGCAACCACTCCCCAGCATCGCATGCACGCACCCACTCCCCCGACCCCATAATGGTACTTGAGCAATGCAAGCAAGCACTCATTCCCATGCACTACCCCACATGCACACACGTAAATGCATATCCACACACGCACTAAATCATACGTGGCAGTCTCTCACCCTGAGCTCGCGGTCAGCCCCCAACCAACCACGCACACACGCGTACACATGCAGATGCGACAGCCCCCCCACTCACCCTGAGCTCCCGGTCGAGGAACGACTGCACCCACTGCTCCGACTCCTTGGTGCTGCTTGGGCAATGCATGTACGTGCAACAGTCGCACACTCATCCACCACACTACCGACACGCAACTAGCCCCCACTCACCCTGAGCTTGCGGTCGAGGAACGACTGCACCCACTGCTCCGACTCCTTGGGCGATGCAAGCATGCCTTCACGTGCCTTCACGTGCGCACACATGCAGCACTCATGCATTCAGATGTGCACAAACACAGCACTCACCCTGAGCTCGCGGTCGAGGAACGACTGCACCCACTGCTCCGACTCCTTGGGCGATGCACGCATGCCTTCACGTGCGCACACATGCAGCACTCATGCATTCAGATGTGCACACACACAGCACTCACCCTGAGCTCGCGGTCGAGGAACGACTGCACCCACTGCTCTGACTCCTTGGTGCGCGGGTCCTCCTTCCCCACCGCCTTCTCAAACACCGCCTGTGCCTTGCGCTCCTCCTGTGGTGGCGGGGGAAGTGGAGACAAAATGGTGAGAGACGGTGCAAGAAAAAGGGTGGGGAGGAGAGCTGATGGAACTAGGAGCTTCAAGGCCAGGCCAGCATAAGCCCTCTAGCACTCACACACATACCTGCAACACCAACTTGAATGTGCCCGTTGATCGTGGTGGCAAACGGCAACCTGCACGTGATGCTGCCCCAGCAGCCTCCCACTCACTGCCTATTCCCCTCGGAACCTACTGCAGCACACCCTTATGCCTTACACACCTGTAAGGCGAGCTTGAATGCCCCCATGGAAGAGAAGGCGAGGACGAGAGCACGGTGACACACGGCCACCTGCACGTGATGCTACCCCAGCAGCTTCTCACTAACTGACTAACGTCCTCAGCACCTACTGCAGCATACCCTAACGCACCTGTAGAGCGAGCTTGAACGCCCCCATAGACGAGAAGGCGAGGGCGAGAGCGTGGTGACACACGGCCACCTGCACGTGATTCTCCCCCAGCAGCTTCTCACTCACTCGCACCGCCTCCTGCAGGTACTTCATTGCGTTCTGCAACTTGCCCATGTCCTGGTGATGGGGAGCGAGAACAGGAGGGGAAGGCGGCGGGGAAAGGTGTATTGAGAACAGGATAACAGATTCTCACTGACTCGCACCGCCTCCTGCAGATAATTCATGGCGGTCTGTAACTTGCCCATGTCCTGGTGATGGGGTGGGAGGGCAGGCAGGAGGAGGGGCAGGGAGGAAGGGGGGGAAGGACGAGTGTGTTGAACCAGCCGACTTTTGAGTCGACTCAAAAGTCACCTCGTTACCAGGGGGGGAAGGACGAGTGTGAGTCGAGTTTGGAGTCGACTCAAAAGTCACCTCGTTACCAGGGGGGGAAGGACGAGTGTGAGTCGAGTTTGGAGTCGACTCAAAACTGGAGTGTGTTGAACCAGCCGACCGGCACCTTCTCATCCACCACATCCCCCCCTTTAAGCACTTCATCACCTTATGCTGACAACCATACATACACACACCACACCACATCCCTCAACCCACACACCTGGTAGGTGAGAGCGATGTTGACGAACAGCGAGGCCACCTCCGGGTGGTCGTTGCCAGCTGAGAGCGAGAGCAGCTGCAGGGTGCGCTTGAAGTGACGCAGGGCAAGCTCAGACTCGCCCATGGCGTGGAAGTAGAGAGCCATGTTGCCGTAGCTGGTGGGTGAAGGGGCAAGGAGAGGGCGCGAGAAGCGTGTTAGGAGAGGTTTGGTAGAGGCATGGGGTGCGCTTGAAGTGGCGCAGAGCGAGCTGTGATTCGCCCATGGCGTGGAAATACAGTGCCATGTTGCCAAGCTGGCGGTGTGCGGGAAGAGGGAGGGGAGGAACGAGGAAGCCAAGGGAAGGGAGCAAGCATGGCGTGCAAGGCATGGCATGGCATGGATGGCACGACATGGCACAGTCGATTTTTGAGTCGACTCAAAAAGCAAGCATGGCGTGGCAAGGCACGGAATGGCATGGATGCCACGACATGGCACAGGGAGAACAACACAGTAGGTATGTACCATGGGAAGAGAGGCGGGCATGGCATCAAAAGCCATGGCCACCGGGTATCCACGTGGCGGAATGCTATTGGTGGACATACTGACCGGAAGCACATGGGACAGGTGCACCCGGCTAATTTGCCACCAGATGAGAGGTTTCACAGAGAAAGTCCCAGCTCTGCTCCCGCCCCCTGCTTTGCTCACACCACCACTTCAAACTTCTCAGAACCATGATGGAGGGGGAGCATCAGCTAATCTGTGCACGAAGTCAGGGTGGTGTGTTTCCTTCCACCACCCGCTCACTGACAATCAGCTCGCGATAAATTCCAGCACAAGACGCTGCCCACTTGCTTCCCCCCCTTAGTGTTGCCAGTAAACAGCAACGCCCACCTATGCACGGTGTCAGGGTGGTCTGTTCCCGCCACCCTCTTGTTGATGACCAGCTCACGGTGCTGCTGCTGCACGAGGCACTGCCCCTTGCACCCCCTCCATGCACCACCCCCTTCCCCCACCCTTGCTCGCCCCCTTGGATCCCCCACCAGTGTGTGTCACACGCCCACCTGTGCACGGTGTCGGGGTGGTCCGTCCCCACAACCCGCTCGTTGATAATCAGCTCGCGGTGCTGCTGCAGAATGGCATTGCCTGTCTCTCCTGCGTGGTAGAAGATCAGAGCCAGGTACCTGGGGTTGTGCAGGGGTGTAGATGGGTGGGAAGAGGTGCGGGGGAACGGAATGGGGAAGATGAACGGGGGGAGGGAGAAGGGGCACTGCAGAAAAAGACCAAAGGAGTGGTCTGGCAAGGACACATGGGAAAGGGCAACATCAAAGGGAGAGAAATGAGTGGGGACAGGGAGGGAAGGAGGGGAAAGGGAGGAAGGGAGGGAGGGAGGGAGGGAGGGAGGGAGGGAGGGAGGGAGGGAGTGAGGGAGGGAGGGAGGGAGGGAGGGAGGGAGGGAGGGAGGGAGGGAGGGAGGGAGGGAGGGAGGGAGGGAGGGAGGGAGGGAGGGAGGGAGGGAGGTAGGGAGGGAGGGAGGGAGGGAGGGAGGGAGGGAGGGAGGGAGGGAGGGAGGGTACAAATGGATAGAATACAAAAGGCTGGCAACGAATGCGGCATGCAGCAATGTCCCACACACCTCTAGAGAATTCTTGCGAGTGACTCGGACATACCTCACTCCATGCTTGCTTACCTGCAGCATGCTGCAACGTCCAGATGAAGTGGCCCGCACACCTGCACGTGGAGAGGGGTGGTGGAATGGGGTTGGGAGGGTGTGGGGGAGGGAGGAGAGACGGGGGTGTTGGGAGGGGCTAGGGAGGAGCGGAACAAGGAAAGAGGAGAGGGAGAGATGCAAGAAACGAGAGGAAAACGAGAAGGAGAGAACGGGAAAGGGAAGGGAAATGGGAGGGGTAAGGGGCAGTAGAGAATGTGAGTTTCTGCGGAAAAAAGAAAGAAGGTCAATAGGCGTCTGCCATTCTAGCCCCCCTTCCTTCCCCTCCCCCCCCCCCTCCTAGCTCCCTTCCAATACCGTCCACTCATATACCCCCCTCCCTTCCCCCCACCAGCCCTGGAACCCCACCTGCTGCAGGATCTGGTAGGCCTCGCTGAGAATCTCAAACGCGGAGTTGAGGGTTGTCTCGTGCTCCCCACCCTTCCTAGTCCTGATCCAATACCCCCGCAACTCCCCGCCCCCGCCCCCGCCCCTCCCCCCACCAGCCATGACCCCTCACCTGCTGCAGGATCTGGTAGGCCTCGCTGAGGATCTCAAACGCGGAGTTGAGGGTTGTCTCGTGCTCCCCACCCTTCCTAGTCCTGATCCAATACCCCCGCAACTCCCCGCCCCCGCCCCCGCCCCTCCCCCCACCAGCCATGACCCCTCACCTGCTGCAGGATCTGGTAGGCCTCGCTGAGGATCTCAAACGCGGAGTTGAGGGTTGTCTCGTGCTCCCCACCCTTCCTAGTCCTGATCCAATACCCCCGCAACTCCCCGCCCCCGCCCCCGCCCCTCCCCCCACCAGCCATGACCCCTCACCTGCTGCAGGATCTGGTAGGCCTCGCTGAGGATCTCAAACGCCGAGTTGAGGGTTGTCTCGTGCTCCCCACCCTTCCTAGTCCTGATCCAATACCCCCGCAACTCCCCGCCCCCGCCCCCGCCCCTCCCCCCACCAGCCATGACCCCTCACCTGCTGCAGGATCTGGTAGGCCTCGCTGAGGATCTCAAACGCGGAGTTGAGGGTTGTCTCGTGCTCCCCACCCTTCCTAGTCCTGATCCAATACCCCCGCAACTCCCCGCCCCCGCCCCCGCCCCTCCCCCCACCAGCCATGACCCCTCACCTGCTGCAGGATCTGGTAGGCCTCGCTGAGGATCTCAAACGCCGAGTTGAGGGTTGTCTCGTGCTCCCCACCCTTCCTAGTCCTGATCCAATACCCCCGCAACTCCCCGCCCCCGCCCCCGCCCCTCCCCCCACCAGCCATGACCCCTCACCTGCTGCAGGATCTGGTAGGCCTCGCTGAGGATCTCAAACGCCGAGTTGAGGGTTGTCTCGTGCTCCCGCAGCCACTGCCCGCTCTGAGGCGTGGCGGAGAAGCGCGGGCGCAGAGGCAAGCCGACCTGGAAAGGAAGAGAGGGCGTGTGTTCAAAGGATGTGGGCGTGGGGCACGTGGGAATTGGGCAGGGTATGGATTGTACCATCGGAAGAGACACAGGGATGGCATGGCATGGCATGGCATGAATTGGCATGGGAATGGCATGGCAAGGGTATGTACCATGGGAAGAGAGGCGGGCATGGCATGGGAAGCCATGGTCACCGGGTATCCACGTGGCGAAACGCTATTGGTGGACATACTGACCGGAAGCACATGGGACAGGTGCACCCGGCTAATTTGCCACCTGGATTATGCAATGTGTGCCAAGCGAATTTGCCATCCTTCAAAGATTATTCCTCACCTCTCACCCTCTGCCCTCCCCGCCCATACCTTGTGCGCGAGGCTCTTCCACTTTTCCAACAGCTTCTGAGCGTCGCTGCAGGCGGGCGAGGCGTGAAGAGAGAGACACCATCTTTCTGCCCACTAACTAACCCTCCTTCAACACACTGCCACTAATACCGTGCATGCACACTGCTCCCCGCCCATACCTTGTGCACGAGGCTCTTGCCCTTCTCCAGCAGCTTCTGCGCGTCGCTGCAGGCGGGAGAAGCGAACTTGACTTGGGGCAGCAGGTCGCACACATCTGCTATGGCGATCGGCACGTCACACTCCAGGTTGTAATCCCTGGCTGCCAGGACGATGCCCATCTGTTAGGGCAATTCAGGAAACACAGGGATAGGGAACTGGGCAGAGATTGGGGCAGCAGGTCGCACATGTCTGCAATGACGATGGGCACGTCGCACTCGAGATTGTAGTCCCTGGCTGCCAGGACGATGCCCATCTGTTGAAGTGGGGGCAACGGGTAACACAGGGAGAACAGGGAGAGGGGGAATGGAGTAAGCGAACTTGACTTGCGGCAGTCAGGTGAGGCGAGCTTGACTTGGGGCAGCAGGTCACACACGTCTGCTATGGCAATGGGCACGTGGCACTCGAGGTTGTAGTCCCTGGCTGCCAACACAATGCCCATCTGTGAGTGGAACAACGGGGACATCGGGAGAGGGGAGTGGGCAGAGATTATTATCAGGGGAGCAGGTCGCACACGTCTGCGATCGCAATGGTCATATAGCATTCGAGGTTGTAATCCCTCGCTGCCAGGACTATGCCCATCTGTAGTGGAGACACAGGAAGGAAGGGCAGTGGGGAGAAGAAGGGGAAATAATGAGGAAGAGGCTATATGCAGCAGGCCCAAACACAATCCCATGGCACTAGGCATGTCGCAATGGAGAGGAGATAATAGATTTTGGCTGCCATGAGCATTAGGCCTTTTGAGGGCCAAAGGTCACTAAAGATCATAGTTTTCAGTTGCCAGGATTAGGCCCACGCCTGAAAATATGCCTGCTGCCGGAGTATGGACTGACCTTGAGGCAGATGTTGCGGAGGGTGGCGAGGCTGCGAACCATCTTGCGCGTCTCAGAAGGGATTTCGAACTGTGCACAGGACAGGGCATGGCAGGACAGGGAGGGCAGGACAGGAGGGCAGGGCAGAGCAGGGCAGGGTAGGGTAGGGCAGGGCAGGGTAGGGCAGGGCAGGGCAGAGGAAGACAGGGAAACGCCCATGGAGATAGGGAGATGGACAGACGGAAGCAGAAAATGAGTAAATATCTAAGGATAGCAGCAGAAAATACATGTGAGACAGACGGAATGAAAAAGGGATCAGGGCAGAGATGCTGAACATACGAGGAAAAAAAAAATCGTTAAAAAGGGAGCAGCAGGGGAGGGGGGCATGGTGACAGATGCAATGATGATAACATTCCTTCACAACATTCCTTATCATTCCAGGCAACTATAACCAAGTTTCAGTCTCTCACCTGATACTTGTACTTGACGCCTTCAGTGATATCAGACCACACCATATCCGCCGTGATACGAGTATACCCCGGCACATCCACCACAAACAGAAACGCCTCCTTCTTCTCTTCCCCCTCCTCCTTCCTCTCCTCCCCATCCTTCTTCTCTCCCCCCTTCCCCTTCTTCTTCTTCTTCCCCCCGCCGCCCGCCGCGCCGCCCTCAGTTTTGTCCGTATCCCCGACGCCGGGGAGCGTGGGCGGCGGCGTGGTGGTGGAGGTGCCGAGGAAGCAGTTGAGGAAGTGTGCGATGGCGCCGGCCACGTCCTGCTCGAGCGTCTCGCGCAGCACAGCCTTGAGCACGTGCTTGGTGGCCCTCACCACCATCTCCGCCACGCACAGCCAGTACACCTGCTCCACGTCAGCCACCTCCTTCGCCACCTGGCAGTTTCAAGGGAGGGGGAGTGGGGGAGGGGGGAAGGAGGCGGGCGGGAAGGGGGGGAAGGGAAGAGGGGTTGGGTATGAGAGAAAAGCAGCGAGGGAGTGGGGAGCAAGGGAGTGAGCAGGGGAGGCAGCAAGGGAGGGAGCAGTTGAGGAAGTGGGCGATGGCGCCGGCCACGTCCTGCTCGAGCGTCTCGTGCAGCACAGCCTTGAGCACGTGCTTGGTGGCCCGTACTACCATCTCCGCCACGCACAGCCAATACACCTGCTCCACGTCAGCCACCTCCTTCGCCACCTGGCAGTGTGTAAGGGAGGAGTGGGGTGGTAGGGAAGGGAGGGGGGCAAGGGACCAACCCAGGTACAGCAACAAGTTGACAACTGTCACCATGAGCATGCATAGTCCTGCCAGCAAGGAACCTTTTGAGTCGACAAGTCACCTAGGCATGCATAGTCCTGCTTGCAAGCACACACACAGCCATCCGCACATGTTCCTTTACCATATCCACATTACATTACATAGCACATGTTCCATTACCATTTCCACATCCCAGCACCGTGCATCCCCACGCCCACCCATCTGAAGGCCATGAAAAAGCCACCAATGCAGGCACTCACCCGGCCCAGGTAGCGCAGGTTGACGCCATGCGCGTGCATGGTGCTGGCGAGCGAGTGCCCATCCACAGGCCACCCCTCGAGAGCTCTGGATGTCCGCCACCAGTGCTGGCAGCGCTGTCTTTTGATGCGCCTCAACCCTGAACAGCTAAACCCTCTAAAATCCCTCGACAGCTCAGTAAGTCTGCCACCAGCACCGTGACCCACGTGCATGAGAAACACCCACCCACCCGCCCATTCATCCAAGGCCCACGAGAGGGAAACTCACCCGGCCCAGGTAGCGCAGGTTGACGCCATGTGCGTGCATGGTGCTGGCAAGCGAGCGGCCGTCCACGGGCCACCCCTCAGAGCTCTTGATATCCGCCACCAGTGCTGGCAGTGCTGTATCGATCAGGTATTTGCCCGCCTTGCGCACTACTGCTTCATCCTCCTCCACCTCCTGATGTTGTGTGGGGGTGCACCGTGGGGGGGGGGAGAGGAAAGAGAGAGAGTGATGGGATGGGTTGTGACAAACAAAAGTCTCATTCTCACACTCAACCCACTCACTCTCAGACTCACCCTCACACTCACTCCCACTCTCAGACTCACTCTTGTTCCTTCTCATCCACCCACCTTGGGATAATCAGCCAGTTTGAATTCGGTGAATGCGTTCGGGTTAAACAGCGCGTCAGGAAACTCGCCCTTCTCCCTCTCAGTCACCCTCACCCTCACCCTCACCCTCACCCTCACCCTCAACCTCACCCTCACCCTCACCCTCACCCTCACCCTCACCCTCACCCTCACCCTCACCCTCACCCTCACCCTCACTCGTATTCCCTCTCTCACCAACCCACCTTGTGATCATCGGCCAGCTTAAATTCTGTCAGCGCATTCGGGTTAAACAGCACGTCAGGAAGCTCGCCCTTCTCCCTCAGCGCCTCCACCTCCTCTGCAATCAACACCTGGCAACCTGGAATAAACAAATTCTCACCCTCACAATGGATCTCACACTCACCCTCAGATGCATTCTCTCCCACCCACCTTGGGATCATCTGCCAGTTTGAACTCAGTGAGTGCATTCGAGTTATACAGCACATCAGGCAGCTCGCCCTTCTCCCACAGCGCCTCCACCTCCTCTGCATTCGGCCTCCCAGTCACCTTGAAATCAACTCACTCTCACACACACTCACACTCACTCCCACACACACCTTGGAATCATCCGCCAGCTTGAATTCTGTCAGCGCGTTCGGGTTGAACAGCACGTCAGGCAGCTCGCCCTTCTCCCTCAGCGCCTCCACCTCCTCTGCACTCGACCGCTCACTCATTCACACTCACATGCACTGACTCTCAGTCTCGCACTTGACCACTCACCTTGGAATCATCGGCCAGCTTGAATTCTGTCAGCGCATTCGGGTTGAACAGCACGTCAGGCAGCTCTCCCTTCTCCTTTAATGCCTCCACCTCCTCTGCACTCGGCCGCTCGCTCACGCCCTTCTGAGCCATCCACCGCTCCACCTGCTCCTCCCGGCAGAACTTCTCCACCAGCTCAGGACGGAGAATCGCCAGGCGGTTAGCAGCATTGGCAGCGTTGGCAGCGTTGGCAGTGGTGTTGGTATCAGTGCCGTCGCTACCGGTGGCAGTGGTGGTGGTGCTGGTGGTGGTGGCGGTGAAATTGGCGTCGCGGGGAGTGAGGCGGATCAGATCCAACAGGTATTTCCTGAGGGGATGGAGGCGAGGGGAGGGAGAAACAGCGGCCAGAAGGGATGATTCACTAAAACGACTGGCCTGGGAGCCAGCTATACCCATCCCTCCCCGTTTGAGAGTTTACCAGCGTTGGCAGTGGTCCCTCGATTCTCCAGTGTCCCTCAGCAGTACCGTCAGTCCCTGTTTAACTCTCCGGATCCCTCCCCAACACTCCTCACCCCTCCCCACCGCGCACCTGTCATCGCTGCCCAGAATGCCCTTGGTCTCCACAGGCGAGCACAGAGTCGCCTCCTTGCCCTCAGCCATACAGTCAGACCAGCACTCCCCTGCCCCCACAAACCTCACCTTCTCGTCAATCCCTCCCCAAAACCCATCACCCCTCCCCACCACTCTCCACCACGCACCTGTCATCGCTGCCCAGAATGCCCTTCGTCTCCACAGGCGAGCACAGAGTGGCCTCCTTGCCCTCCCCGTCCGCCCAGGACTCGTGGGTCTAATCCACATTCCCTCACCCCCTGTCAACATCTTTTCCCACACGCACCTGTCATCGCTGCCCAGAATGCCCTTGGTCTCCACAGGCGAGCACAGAGTCGCCTCCTTGCCCTCTCCGTCCGTCACCTTGTGCTGCTTCAGGTGCAGCGCCTTACCCAGCTCAGCCACCTGGGGGTGAAAGAAGCGAGAAGCGAGGCACAGGGGGCAGGAGCAGGTGAGACAAGGAAGAGAACAAGAGGACGTGAGACAGAGGGGCTTGCCCTCCCCGTCCGTCACCTTGTGCTCCTTCAGGTGCAGCGCCTTGCCCAGCTCCGCCACCTGAAGGTATGGCAGGGAGGGAGGGAAGGAGGCAACATGCAAGGCGGTCAATGAGTGGGTGTTTGCCATTGCTAGACGCACACAGGGCATACACCCACTCACGCAAAGGAACCCAACGAGTCATCACCCATACCCCAGCACCACGGCGCTTTGGGATGGAACGAGTCACTCCACTTGATGGTCTTGCCCGTGTCCACCGACCCGTACAGCATCTGTTTGTCACCTAACTAGCACCAGCAATGCATACATGCACGTACACACCCTCACACACATGCAACCACACAAACCCCACACTCACACCACCTCCACCGTACCTTGGGGTGGAACAAGTCGCTCCACTTGATGGTCTTGCCCGTGTCCACCGACCCGTACAGCATCTAAAGGGTACCAGCAATACATACACAGATGCACGCACCCTCACTCCCACCGACCCGTATAGTGATGCACTGAGGTGCCTTCGCACCCCTCCCTTCTTCACCCTTTACCCCCACACACACACAACCACACATCGCCCACACACAACTTCCACGGCACCTTGGGGTGGAACGAGTCGCTCCACTTGATGGTCTTGCCTGTGTCCACCGACCCGTACAGCATCTGAGTCGTGCGGTCGCCGTAGAGAATGCCCGGGATGATGCTCTGCTCAAAGAGGGGGAAGGCACAGCAGGTGAGGGATGCAGAAGGGTAAGGGAAGATACAGGAGGGTAAGATATTTGATGGTCTTGCCTGTGTCCACGGACCCGTACAGCATCTGCGTTGTGCGGTCACCGTAGAGAATGCCTGGGATAATGCTCTGCTCAACAAAGGGTAAGGCAGGTGAGGGGTGCAGGAGGGTACAGAAGGGTACAAGAGGGTCAGGTACTTGATGGTCTTGCCTGATCGCCATAGAGAATGCCCAAAATGATGCTCTACGATAGGGGGAAGGGGGGAAGTGGCGGAGTGGAGACAGGGTTGATGGAACAGGTGAAGGGTGGAAAGTCCGCGATGGCCATGGAAAGCGAGTAGAGCCCAGGAGACTTCTGTCAAATGGCTTACCATACTATACAGCAACAGCAACACGCACCTGAGCGATGACTCGGTGCCCGCGGTAGTCCACAATGGCCATGGCCAGCGAGTAGAGCCCGGGGATGTCGGCGTTGTTCACAGCCATGGTGCCCTTGAGGGGCCTTTCAAGGCACCTCAAAGACCACAACACCGCACCTGAGAAATGGGACCATGTAATTGGGCAATATGACACACCTGAGCGATGACTCGGTGCCCGCGGTAGTCCACGATCGCCATAGCCAGCGAGTATAGCCCGGGGATGTCCGCATTGTTGACAGCCATGGTGCCCTTGAGGTCGTTGTTGGACGATGCATACGTTGCCTGCTCTGCCTCCGTCACTGCCGCTGCTGCTGCTGCTGCTGCATCCTCGCCTTCCTTCTTCTCCCCCTCCTCTCCTTCCTTCTCTCCTTCCTTATTCTCCCCTTCCTTCTTATCTGCCTCCTCTGCCTTTGCCTCCTCCGCCTTTTTCTCCTCTGCCGCCTCCTGCTCTTTCTTCTCCTTCTCCTTCTTATCCTTCTTCTCCTTCTTCTTCTTGTCCCTCTTCTCCTTCTTCTCCTCCTTCGTTTCCACCTTCTTCTCCTCTTCCTTCTCCCCCTCCTTTTTCTCCTCATCCTTACCCCCCTCCTCTCCCCCTTCCTTCTTCTCCCCACCCTCCCCCTCCCCCTTCTTAGCAGCCTCCGCCTCCGCCTGCTGCTTCAGCTCCGCCTCTCTAATCTGCTGCAGCGCCGCAAAATCCCCATCAACAGCCAGGGAAAAGAAGATATTATTATGCACATACATATGGAACCGATCCGCGTCATGCGGGTTGATCGGCGGGATCGACCGGCCAATCACGGCCTTCGCGCCGCGAACCGCCGAATCAGCAAACTCGCAGCTGACTCGATATAAGGCCCGGTCGCGCAGAATCCGGTCTTGTAACGAGTTACGCGGTAACTCGCGGCAGCTCTGCAGCTCCTCGTTCCAGTCCCTCAGAACGCCACTGAAATCGATACCGAAGGGGGCCATTAGAGCGTCTTCGGATCGTGCCACGTCACGCGTATACTGTAGCGGCCCCGTGCCGTCCGCGCCGCCCCAGATGGGCTTTGCCGCCCAGTCGTTGGGCGGCAGCGGTGCCAGCATGTTCTCAAACGGGTGGCGGTTGGCCTTGCGCTCGATCACCTCCGCAAAGGCTGATGAAGGAAGGGTGAAGGGAGGGAGGGGAGAGCAGATGGAGAGTTCTTAGGTGGCTAGCAACGCATTCAGGAGAAGGGTGGCGCCAGCTTCTTCTAGAGACTTGAAGGGGTGGCGGTTGGCCTTGCGCTCGATCACCTCCGCAAAGGCTGATGAAGGAAGGGTGAAGGGAGGGAGGGGAGAGCAGATGGAGAGTTCTTAGGTGGCTAGCAACGCATTCAGGAGAAGGGTGGCGCCAGCTTCTTCTAGAGACTTGAAGGGGTGGCGGTTGGCCTTGCGCTCGATCACCTCCGCAAAGGCTGATGAAGGAAGGGTGAAGGGAGGGAGGGGAGAGCAGATGGAGAGTTCTTAGGTGGCTAGCAACGCATTCAGGAGAAGGGTGGCGCCAGCTTCTTCTAGAGACTTGAAGGGGTGGCGGTTGGCCTTGCCCTTGATCACCTCCGCAAAGGCTGATGAAGGAAGGGTGAAGGGAGGGAGGGGAGAGCAGATGGAGAGTTCTTAGGTGGCTAGCAACGCATTCAGGAGAAGGGTGGCGCCAGCTTCTTCTAGAGACTTGAAGGGGTGGCGGTTGGCCTTGCCCTCGATCACCTCCGCAAAGGCTGACAAGGGGAGGGTCAAGTAGGGGAAGGGGAGGGCAAATGGAGAGATATTGAGGGTTATTGAGAGTTACTGAGGGGCTAAAGGTGGCTTGACCTGTGCATTTGAAAGTAATTGTTTGCATCAACGCATGATTGGATCTTTAGACATAAAAGAAAACTACAGATCGGGCAAGGGTGAAAGGGTGTGTGCAAATGCCAGGATCATGCGAGCAGGTGGGGATGCTGGTAGTGTGGTGATGCGAATACACTAAAAACCATGGACATAGGCGTTTTTTTTTTTTTTTTTTTCCAATGTGGCTGGTGTGGGCAAACGTTGAAGCTGCCTCAAAGATAACGTACTTGATTTTTATTTTTATTTTCCCACATTGTTGGTATCATATATGCCATGACCGACAGAGAGGCATACGGGGGCATAACCCCTAAACCCAGGTTGATATCCTCACATTCGCACTGCATTCGCCATATGGTGGGCGCAACCTCTCTCACCTTTCCCGACACAAGTGTGTGCCTTACCTTTGGAGAAGAGCGGGCTGATCTGCCGCAGCAGCCCAATGAGAGTGGACGCGTCCATCTTGGGCTCGGCGGGGCGCGGGTCCAGTTTGCTGCAACCAACCCAGTCCTCACAGACTCCCTCTCTCACTCTCAATCCGCCTCATTCTTTTAAAAGTATCAGGCTCTTGCTCTCACCTTTGGAGAAGAGAGGGCTGATCTGCCGCAGCAGCCCAATGAGAGTGGACGCGTCCATCTTGGGTTCAGCAGGGCGCGGGTCCAGCTTGCTGCAACTACTCCTTACAGGCCCTCTCTCTCTCTCACTTCAGATTCGCCTCACCTTTGGAGAAGAGCGGGCTGATCTGGCGCAGCAGCCCGATGAGAGTGGACGCGTCCATCTTGGGCTCAGCAGGGCGCGGGTCCAGCTTGCGGCCGCTGCCACTGCGGTTGACAAAGAAGCCCCTCGTGTGCGCCGTCACGCAGAAGAGCTTTCCCTCCGCTGTCACCACCTCCAGATACACCAGATCGCCTTGCAGCCTGCAGAAGGAGCTCAAAGGGATGGAATGCGGTGGTAAGGGATGGAGAGGGGTCTGAGACGTGTGTCACTGGGACTGCCACTGCGGTTGACAAAGAAGCCCCTCGTGTGCGCCGTCACACAGAAGAGCTTTCCTTCCACTGTCACCACCTCCAGATATACGAGATCGCCTTGGAGCCTGCAGGGGGATGGGAAACGGTTGAAAGTGGTGGAAAGGGATATGAGACGTGTGCCACTGGGACTGCCACTGCGGTTGACAAAGAAGCCCCTCGTGTGCGCCGTCACACAGAAGAGCTTTCCCTCCGCTGTCACCACCTCCAGATACACCAGATCGCCTTGCAGCCTGCAGAAGGAGCACAGAAGGATGGGAAACGGTTGGAAGGGGTGAGGGATATGAGACGTGTGCCACTGGGACTGCCACTGCGGTTGACAAGACAAAGAAGCCCCTTGTGTGCGCCGTCACGCAAGAGCTTTCCCTCCGCTGTCACCACCTCCAGGTAGACCAGGTCGCCTTGCAGCCTGAAAGATGGGAAACGGTTGAGACCGGTGGAGAGGGGAAAGAGATGTGTGGATTGAGAAGAGCCCCTTGTGTGCGCCGTCACGCAAGAGCTTTCCCTCCGCTGTCACCACCTCCAGGTAGACCAGGTCGCCTTGCAGCCTGAAAGATGGGAAACGGTTGAGACCGGTGGAGAGGGGAAAGAGATGTGTGGATTGAGAAGAGCCCCTTGTGTGCGCCGTCACGCAAGAGCTTTCCCTCCGCTGTCACCACCTCCAGGTAGACCAGGTCGCCTTGGAGCCTGACAGGGGTGGGGAGGGATGAGAACCGGTTGAAATGCAAATGAAACTTAACGTAAGTCAGAAAGTGCGTTCTTCTGTTCCAGTCCACCACGGTTGAGCGAGGAAGATGAAAGGTGAAATGATTTCTCGGGGCGTTGTGAGGAGGAATAATCTCACCTCCTGGGCCCCGGAACAGGGTTGAAGGAGGAGAAGGCGATGCTCTCAACGCACACGGGCGCGGCGTCCTCGTCAGCGCCGCCCTTCACCATCACCTTGGCGAGCACGCCCTTGGGATCATCGCCCAGCCCCACGCCCTGCTCCAGCCACGCCATCTCCTCTCCATCCATCCGTCCTCGCCCCTCACATCAAGCTCTCTTACCTACCTCCTGGCAAGGAGGCAACGGAAATCAGGAGGAAAGAGTAATCTCACCTCCTGGGGCCCGGAACAGGGTTGAAAGAAGAGAAGGCGATGCTCTCCACACACACGGGCGCGGCCTCCTCGTCAGCGCCGCCCTTCACCATGACTTTCGCGAGCACGCCCTTGGGATCATCGCCCAGCCCCACGCCCTGCTCCAGCGACGCGATCTCCTCCATGCGCGCCTTGCTGCTCGGAAGCTTCGCCTTGCGCTCCCGCTCCTTCTCCTTCTCCCGCCGCTCCTTCTCCTTCGCCTCCTCCTCCTTGCTCCGCCGCCCCTTCCCCTTCTTCCCCTTCCCGCTCTTCTTCCACTCCCCGCCCTCCTCGTCTTTCTCCCCGTCTTTCTCCCCCTTCTCCCCCTCGCCGTCCTTCCCCTCCCCCTCCTCCTTCTCATCCCCCCCAAGCTCGCGTTCAGTAGCCAGCCCCTTAACTAGCTCATATTCCGCCGCCATGGCCGTAGACGCGCTAGAGTACGAACCCGCCATCGATATAAGCTCCCTCGTTTTACGCACGTGCAGCCGCACGGCGCGGTCGTCGTAGAACGTGTTGAACATCTCCAGCAGGCACCCGCCGGCCGCCACGTCAGCAACCTCACCAATCTCCACGTAATCCATGAGGTGGTAACGCAGCCCGTCCGGCTTGGTGAGGATAAGGTCGTACGCGGTATAGAAGCACGTCTCGGGCGCGTCGGCCAGAAACTGCTTCAAGTCCATTACTGTGTCAGCTGGGTTCACCTGATTGGTGGAAACGGGGGGAGGGGGAGCGGGCGAAAGAGGGAACGCGGTATAGAAGCAAGTCTCAGGTGCGTCGGCCAGTGTTTCAAGTCCATTACTGTGTCTGCGGGGTTGACCTGAAACGGAAGGGCGAGTGGGAGTCGAGGGAGAGGGGAGGAAAGAGACGGGGAAGAGTCCGGCTTGGTGAGGATAAGGTCGTACGCGGTATAGAATCACGTCTCGGGGGCGTCCGCCAGGAATGCTTCAAATCCATCACTGTATCGGCAAGGTTCACCTGAAAGGGCGAGTGGGAGCGGGGGTGGGAGGGAGGGGGAGGAGGGAGGGGCGAAGGGGGGGGGAGGAGCGGGGGGGGAGGGGAGGGGGGGGGGGGGGGGGGGGGAGGGGGAGGAGAAAGAGAAGAGGAGTCCGGGTTGGCGAGGACAAGGTCGTAAGCGGTATAGAAGCACGTCTCGGGAGCGTCGGCCAGAGACTGCTTCAAGTCCATCACTGTGTCCGCTAGGTTCGCCTGAAAAGGCGAGTGGGAAGGGACGGAACGGGGGGAAGGGACGGGATGGGGGAAGAGAGGTAGGAAAGGAGGAAGGAAGGACGAAAAGGGTCCAGTGTGGGGAGTGAGGAAGCGGTAGGAAAGGAGGAAGAATGGATGAAATCCGTCAATCAGCTGGACGAAATCCGACAAACAAGCGTCGCAGCCTCCTCCACTGATAATTCAACGCGTGACATAGAATAACCTTACGTCATGCCATACGTCACCGCATACGTCAAGCATCTCCAGTGTTTCCTAGGTCCAGACGGAGGGACGGCTGACTGAGCCTACATTTGCTGGACTGTACTTCAGCTAGTTCAAGCGCAACCCAGTCTGAGGTCATTACCAGTCAACTCTACCATACGTATCGTACTGTTTCTCAAGTCTACACGACCAAACCCTCATAAAAGAAATTAATGGCTGCGATTGTGGTTCTCTTTAATGCTTTAAGAGACTATAACACTTTACCGCAGTCAACTGGACCCATCACCGCGAGTAAAATTAATATCTTCTTCGGCGGGGCATTACCGTTTCTTTCCAAAGCTCTTTACCTCACGTGCCAGAAATGCGTACCTGAAGCGCTCTCAACCTACCTGCAGCGCTCTCAACCTACCTGCAGTTCGATCTCCTTTCCAGCAGGTCCCTTCACTGCCAGAGGGTACAGCTGAGGATCATCGAGGTGAGTTTTGAGTCGAGTCATAAGTATGCAACCGTCTCGACATACCTGCAATTCGATCTCCTCCCCAGCGGGTCCCTTCACCGCAAGAGGGTACAGCTGAAGCTCGTCCGCGTCCTTCTTAGCAACCCCATCACCCTCCCCCTCTGCCTCCCCCTCCCCCTCTTTCTTCTCCGTTCCCTCCCCCTCCTGTTTCTTTTCCTCCCCCTCCGTAGCGGCAGCATCTACTGCGGGAGCCGCGTCGGCCGGGGCGGCATCGGCTGGCTTCTGCTCTTCCGCGGCTGCGGAAGCAGCTGGCGGCGTAGTTTCCGCGTCGTTTCCCATGACGTCGTACCCGTTGACACGTGTCAACTGCTGACGCTGAGAACGACGGTCCTACGATCAGTGTGTTCACTGATTGGTCCTGGAATTGGTAATGCCGGTTGATCAACGAAGAATGGGGGGAGAAGAGAAGACAGTAGGAGTTTAAAATTAGAAGGCACGAGAGAAAATTGGAAATTAGTCGGTGCACTGCAAAACACTACATAGCGCTTGATATATACACAATATATGAGTATTATATTACTACAAAGCCGCCGTGCTTCTGTTATTTTTTTCCTACACGCATCTTAAGAAAACTCACGTTACCGAGACGAGCGGGGAGCGCGGCAAATCTTGGATCAGACAAACCGAATTAACTGCCGAAGCCTAGCCGTGAGGAAATCTCAGATGGCCGAGATGGCCTAGATAGAAAAAGAAGGATTCTAGAGAAGAAAAACAAATAGTAGTAATGCCTGAAAGGATGAATGGCTAAGGATTGGGGGAACGGCGGGGGGAGATGGGGGGAGGGATTGGGGAAGACGAGTAGAATTCACGGGAAAAGGGGGAACGTATGGAGCGGAAAATGTAGGGGTGGGGGAATGGCTGGCGGAAACACGACAGACACGGGGAACAGGAATGAATGGAGCTGGGACAAAAGATTTGGGCACAGGACATGTGGGGGGGACAGTGGCGGATGAGGTGGGACACGTGGCGGGTTTGGGGGTTCTTTGGATGACCAATCTGTGGGTGCAGCGTGGCACTACAAGCGGGCGGAAGCTCTCAGAGTTCCACGTCAGTCATTCGCGAACCCAAGTCTGGCAAAAATACAGAAATGAGGATTCATTACAGGTTACAGAATCCACATGGCAACTTCATCTGCCTACACTTGTATAATGATATCATTCTTCAAACATCAATGAGTGCAGCTGCCAACACTTGTATAACACGGTCTTGCCCAATTTTGCTGAATTATATAATCAGATATTAAAAAGTTTTCTTACCTTTACATTCTCATGTCATTCAGGTTTATGATAGATAGTTGACGTAAATCTGCAACCCTTACCAAACCAGGAGTACTGTACATATAGTCTTCATATATATCTCAAGGTACTGTACAGTACCATACAGTCTTGCAAACATCAAACTCTCTCCGCCCCTCACAAGCTCCGCCTCTCCCCTCGGTGGTGGTGTCCCATTTTGGGGGGCAAACTTCTGCAAGGCCGTGTTTTTGCATAGACTTCATGCAGTTGAATGCGTACCAATTTGTTCCCATGACGTTCCCAGTTCGCAAAACTGCTGATGGTATGCGAAGCAGCTGCTGTTGGAGAGGAGAGTTTTGAGATCGAGCATGACGAGACTTTACTTCAATCACGCCTCCGTAAAGCTCCGACCAGATCCCCCCTTCACCCGCCAAACACTGCTCGCCCCGCGCCACCTTTCCTCCCAATCATCCCCCCGCACCCCCTCCCTCCCCCACAACATCCCCCCCCCCCCCCCCCACCCCCAGCTGTCTAAACCCCCATCAGATCTCTCGCCTTTTTCCTGCCTGTAGCCCTTTTTGCCTCGTACATTCAACAATAAATCTCCTCTGGTTTCAACTATTTCTATCCGCCTTATTTCTTCTCTTCCTCGCCCCTTATATGTATTTGCTCGTTGTTCCTGCCCTCTCGCTGACTGGAGGTCGTGGCGGGCAGCGTGTAGGCTCCTGTGGCCTCTCTAAAACGTGCGGGGATGAGATGGCTTCGAAGACATACCTTCTAACAGGAAGCATGGGTGAAGCCGCATGGATGCAACCGTGGGTGAAGCCGCCTTGACTGGATGAAGTCTTGACATAAACTGCTGCAGAGTTGGTTCGGCCGTTGTCAGCAGCCCGCCGTACCAGTGTCACATCTGGAACGTGGCCCGGCTTCTTGATAACATGTGAGTTTCTGATTCGCAAGGTCATTGTTGGGTTTCTGTCGTCCGCGCATTTCGATTATGCCCTTTCCCACAGTTCTTCGTCAATGGCTGGCATATGATGTGACGTGAATAATCACTTATGCTACACTCTGATTGGATCGATGATCCGTGTAGAAATAACCATACACCTCTGACAATCTGATGCCAGATCTTCGCCGTCGTCCTCATTTTCGTCTATGTCATGATCCATGCTGTATTTTCGTGATGTTTTCGTACGTTGCTTTTTTTTCGACATCTTGGTGAGCACAGTCACTCTACTCCCCCCTGGGCTGAGCTGATATCTGATGAAGTTTCGGTCCCATGATTGTGCGAGAGCTACTCGGTGCTTCGTGTTGCGGAGTAACAACTTATCCTGTGTGTGACTCTGTGTCAAAATAGCCCGTACATTGCATTCCGATTACGGCTTGGATCGTATGCTGCGGTGCAGCTGCTGCTCGGACGCCTAATCTGTGTCTCATTCTTGATTTGTGTATCTCAGGTGGAGGAAGAGAAGTTCGAAATGTGATGTGACGACGTTGACATTGACACGAGCGGATCTGTGATGTCATTTCCCGTGGAGGAAACACAGATCTGGTGTCAGAAGAAAAGAGACCGGTGGCGAACCTCGTATACTTGTGCTGCGTCATTGCTTGGGCATATTTCACTCCGTGCAAGTCAACGTGATTGTGTGTAATGAGCAGCCTTACTCTTGTAACCAATAGGTTTCTCAACAAACTGTTGAAAGCCTGACATTAAATTTTGACCTAAGGAACAAGTATTCAGCCTAAGGAGAAGACTGGTTACCATCAAGAAGTTGTGATCTAAAATTCATATGAACGGGTCACCAGGATGATTGAGTTTGTGGTGAATGTAGGGTTCATTACTACGTCTTCGAAATTCGCGTCACAATCCTTCAAACCGCTCTGTACCGAACTGCACCTAAGTCCGATTTTTTTAATAATGTTTACAAAGTGGTACAATCTTGGATTGTGACGCGAATGTCTAAGACACGTCTTGGCAGGAATGGCGAATGTTCCACATCGTTCTTGCTAACGCCACCCTTCGTCTATACACGGAGCAAAGCCATCCCCGCGAATGCAAGGTTATTGCTGCTCCCGCTGCTGGAGCTATCTGCACCTGGGTTGAAGGCTGCTTTATCTCTCTTCTAAAAAAACCCAGTATCTGAGAGCTACTGTCAGATGCAACCAGCGTAAGGAATTGCACTGTTTTCTTGACAGTTCTCCAGCTAATCAGTGCTAACACCTTGTGTTTTAATGCCCAGGCGAGACACGGACAATAAGTACAACTCGAAAATCTCTGTACACATGATACGCAGAAATTCACCGAAAACTCAACTAACAGCTTTGCTACTAGCTGGGAGAATAGGAGCATCTTGTTGCCAAATAACATCTCGAACTATCTAAACACGCGAGCATTGTACTCAACAGAATATGGCAACGGAAACGCCTTAGCACTTGGAGCAGGTGCAGCTGCTACCGCACTTGCACTCGCCGCCGCTAGCGCAGCCGCAGCCACCGGCAGCAGCGGTCTTGCATCCGCAAGGGGCGTTCTCAGCAGTGCACGTGCAGCCCTCCGCAGCTACAGGTAGCGCCCGCGGCGGGAGCAGCAGCGGACTTGCATCCGCACGGCGAGTTCTCCGCAGTGCATGTGCAACCCTCCCCGCAGCTGCATGTAGCGCCAGCGGCGGGAGCAGCAGCGGACTTACATCCGCACGGAGAGTTCTCCGCAGTGCACGTGCAGCCTTCGCCGCAGCTGCAGGTGGCGGTCGCAGCGGTCTTGCAGCCGCAAGGGGAGTTCTCAGCGGTGCAGGTGCAAGCCTCGCCGCAGGTGCAGGTGGTGGGGGCCATTGTGCTTGTCGAACACCGAATGAAGAAGGCCGAACACTAAGTTGTCGCTTGATGAGCGTATTTCAAAGCGTGAACTTGCAAGAGAGCTTGGAATAGTTGATCGAGCAGCAGAAATTGGAATGTCTGGATTGGAAAAGCGAGTGGTATTTGTAGGCCCGCTTTGCGACAGACGTGACGTGAAAGTGTTCGTTTTTTGCGGCGCGCTGGAGCTGAGGCAGGCGTGCGGTTGCACTGTTGGCGCGTGTCACAGAATCAACGCAGCGCGCTTCTAGAATGTTCGAGAGAGGTTATTCCGGTTTCGAATTACCTTCGTGGAATTTACCAGGAAGCTGGAACTGATTTATTATCTAAGCTGTAAGTGTCTATGCCTGATATCGAGCTGGTTCAAATCGAAGAAGCTTTTAAGCTGATCAAATGAAAGCGTTTGCGAGGGCCATTTGGTGTCGGCACATCGCCATGACACGTCGCAAGTCGCCACGTCGCCTATGTCGCCACGTCGCGCACCAGGTACCACATAGCGATTGCGTCCGACATCAAAGGAATGCGTGGTTACCAGCCTTCGTTTTCCCGCCAAATTCTCGTCTTTACTCAGAAACTGACATCCATGTTTTCCTCCTAGAGATTGACACGCCGCTCGTGTACAGCCACAACTTCAGCTGCATTGGCCTTACCGCCTCGCTTCGTTGTAAAAGCTGTTGATAAAGGAAAGAAAGGAATACATATTTATTTCCTACCCAGTTCTCGTACCGCCCGAGTTACGTTCCTCGAGCTTCATACTTCCGTTGTGATATATTGCCTCGTCAACCGCTGTGTTACCGCTGTGATCAAGGGCTTCCAGCGTTCGAAATCAGCTGATATAGATAGTATGGAAACCATAGCTTCAGGCGATGCGGGGAGTCCGGATGTCCCGGCCGTGGAAGTCACGGCTATGCAGTTCGCTTATCCCGGCGAGCCTCCGTTAATTTCCAAGTTTAACCTGACACTACCACGTGGCAGCCGTTGCCTTCTGATTGGAGCCAACGGTGCAGGCAAGACGACTCTCCTGAGAGTGTTGGCGGGAAAGCACATGGTTGGTGGAAAGGACGTCGTTAAAGTTCTCGGTCGCTCGGCATTCCACGATACAGCTCTCTCCTGCGACGGCTCTCTTGCCTACCTCGGTGGTTCCTGGAGCAAGTCCGTCGGCTGTGCGGTGAGTGTGCCTTGAAACGCATTTGCTTGCATGGCGACTGATCAATGCTCGTTGAAGGCACATCGTTCCCCTGCGACGGCTCTCTTGCCTACCTTAATGGTTCCAGGAGCATATCCATAACCTGTGTGGTGAGTTTGCTGTGTAACGCAATCGCACACACGGCGTTTGAACAAATCCCCAAACATAGGCGCGTTGCTTTCGTCGTCAGTTGCTTTTCCAATGTCCCTCTCACCCGTCGTCCGTCGCTCTCCATCCTCTCACTGTCATCACCTGCTCTGAGCGCCGCATAAGTAGTCTCGGTTCATCGCTTTCCTAATCCCCCCCACCGTCATCACCTTACACGACGAAATTCCTTTCAAGGCGATGTGCATGCAACCTGCAAGGGCCACTCTGTAGAGCTGCAATGTTTCCTTCCTTACGATACGAAGTCCTATTGTTCTTTTCTCCCAGCGCGAAGTTCATTTTCAGTGCAACTTCAGCGCGGAGGACATGATTTACGGCCAAGGGCCACCTTGCTGAGTTGTTGAGTTCTTCCTCCCTCGCTCATTCCCTGATTCTAACATTTTACACCCTGATTCTCTTTCCTCCCTCGCCACAGGGCGAAGTTCCTCTGCAAGGTGATTTCAATGTGGAGCACATGATCTACGGCGTGGCTGGCGTGGACGCAACCTTCAAGGCCACCTTGTAGACTGGTGCTGCAGTTTCGCCTCTCTGTTTCCATCCCATCCCCTGTTCTTGTCATGCCTCGCTTATGACAGGGCGAAGTTCCTCTCCAGGGAGACTTCAGTGCGGAGCACATGATCTACGGCGTTGCTGATGTGGACGCCACGCGCAGGGACCACCTGGTGGAGCTGCTGGATATTGATCTGACGTGGCGCATGCACCGCGTGTCAGATGGGCAGAGGAGGCGAGTGCAGATATGCATGGGGCTGCTGCGACCCTTCCAGGTGAGCCATGATTCAGCCAGATTGCGAGGTGAATCAGCTGTTAAATGTACGACCTTCTATGGCATTCGTGCCGTGCCGTGCCGTGGGCCGGATGGGCAGAGGAGGCGAGTGCAGATATGCATGGGGCTTCTGGAGTCTTCCAGGTGAGCTGCTGCCGATGATTCTGGTTCCACCGCATTGCCGGGTGGAGCTGTTAGATTCTGACCTCCTACGGCGTATGCACCAAGGGCAGAGTGGGCAGGGTGGCTAGAGGAGTTAACAGCAGATATGCATGGGACTGCTGGTTGGGGTGTCGCTAGACCTCGATGTCACCAAGCTGGACCTTCGTATCTCTTCTGACCCTTGCCATGCCACAGGTGCTACTGCTGGACGAGGTCATGGTAGACCTAGATGTTGACGCCAGCTTATGCCTCTCCTGTCATTCAGTTCTCCCCCACCCCATGCCACAGGTGCTGCTGCTGGACGAGGTCACAGTGGACTAGTTGTCACTCGGATGGATATTCTCTCCTTCATACTACAGGTTGTATTTTTTTCGCACTTCTTCTCCCACTTCTTCCCCTTCTCATGCCACAGGTGCTGCTGCTGGATGAGGTCACAGTGGACCTAGATGTTGTCGCCAGGATGGACCTCCTCTCCTTCTTCCAACAAGAATGTGAAGAGGTAATCCGTGAGGCATTAGCAACGAATCTGGGAGGATAGAACAGCTGATTAATGCACTGTGTTGTCTGCTGCTCAATGCTGGACTGGGTGTTGCTGGCAATTCAAGGTTTTGCACAGGCAATCTGATTTCCTGCTGATTTCCTAGTTAGCTGACCTGTTCCTGCTTACTTGCTTCTCCCCCTTTGCCTTCCTCTTCCCTTTGCAGAGAGGAGCTACAGTCGTGTATGCCACGCATATATTTGACGGCCTGGAGTCTTGGGCAAGCCACCTCGCTTTTGTCTCTTCTGGCAAGTTGCAGCGGCTGGAATCAGTGGATCAGTCAATACAACAATCTGCTGGTAGCCACAAGCCAACTACATTGCAACTACCATCATTGCTGGAAACGGTGGAGCCTTGGCTGAGGGAGGATAAGTCTAAGAGGGAGAAAGAGGTGGAAGAGGCAAAGAAGAGGGGAGATGTGCCTAAAAGAGTGGACCCATTTGCTGGTGCTGGTAGGCACATGGCTTATTATAGGTAGTTGTGCGCTGTAACACTGATACAACCGAAAGCTGATGAAATTTGTGTTTCATTTATTACTACCAGTACGCACATTTCTACTCCTTTTGTATCGTTTCAAACGAAAAAAATACACAACACCCTACCCACCAAAACAAAATAATTCAAAAGAAAACAAAAGCTGATAACTTTACTTCAATAAACAAATCAATTCAAACAAAATTACACGACATCGTACCCACCAGAGCAATACAATACAAAACTTAATTAAAACTGATAACTCTACTAAATTGTTAGGCGTGACTATATGCAGCAAATGCGCAGTCTGTAGAGAGTACACTGTGTCAAACTGCATGTTTGTGTTATCTCTAGGCTATAGTGGGTTAGCCTACAAGGGGTACAACACTTTAGGGTTAGGTACTTGTACTCATGCATGCTACCTAGTCCACCATTCCTGCCTGCTTATTCTAACATGGTATTAGAGCAGAATCGTTCCTAGGGCCCACCGAACGTTCCGCCCCTGCAGCCACGCTGCTCTTGCAGCTCGCGTGCTGCCCCTGCGACCGCGCTGCCCCTGCAGCCGTGCTCGCCCCTGCGACCGTGCTGCCCCTGCAGCCGTGCTCGTCCCTGCGACCGTGCTGCCCTTGCAGCCGTACTCGCCCCTGCGACCGTGCTGCCCCTGCAGCTGTGCCTGCCCCTGTGGCCCGCGTACTGCCCCTGCAGCCCGCGAGTTCGCCCCTGCAGCCCGTGGGCGCTGCCTCTGCAGCCCGCGCGCCGCCTTGCCGATCCGCGCGTCGGCCCTGCAGCCCGTGGGCACTGCCCCTGCAGCCCGTACGCCGCCCTGCAGAGCCGCGCGTCGCCCCTGCAGCCCGTACGCCGCCCTGCAGAGCCGCGCGTCGCCCCTGTAGCCCGTGGGCGCTGCCCCTGCAGCCCGCGCGCCGCCCTGCCAAGCCGCGCGTTGCCCCTGCAGCCCGTGGGCGCTGCCCCTGCAGCCCGTACGCCGCCCTGCAGAGCAGCGCGTCGCCCCTGCAGCCCGTACGCCGCTCTGCAGAGCCGCACGTCGCCCCTGCAGCCCGTGGGCGCTGCCCCTGCAGCCCGCGCGCCGCCCTGCCGAGCCGAGCGTCGCCCTTGCAGCCTGGGCGCCGCCCTGCCGAGCGGCGCGCCGCCCCTACAGCCCGCGCGCCGCCCTGCCGAGCTGCGCGTCGCCCCTGCAGCCCGTGGGCGTCGCCCCTGCAGCCCGCGCGCCGCCCTGCCGAGCCGCGCGTCGCCCCTGCAGCCCCGGCCGCGCGCAATCCTAAACCCTAAATAATAATAATAATAATAATAATAAAAAAAAAACTATTGCTGCTGCTGCTACTCGTGCTACTGCTGCTGCTGGTGGAGGTGCTGCTGGGAGTGCTGGAGGTGCGGCCGCCCAGCCCCACTGAGCCGCCCTGCTGCTGCTACTACTTCTGCTGCTGCTACTCGTGCTACTGGTGCTGCTGGTGGAGGTGCTGCTGGGAGTGCTGGAGGTGCTGCTGGTGCTGGAGGAGCTGGAGGTGCTGGACCTACTCCTGACCGTCGCTGTCTGTCATGGCCACTATCGCGGCAGTTGCTGCGGCCAGGGGTGGACAACAGCGAACACTGCCTCTCCCGGACGACCCCACCCCTCGGCAGCTTCGTGAGTGGGTTGTTCAGCGATGCCGTCCTGGTGGTGGAGGTTATCGTTATGTTTGGGCTGCTGCTCTTGGTGCTAGTGAGTCTGCTGCCGCTCCAGGTGCTAGTGAGTCTGCCGACGCTCTAGGTGCTAGCGCGTCTACTGCCACAGGTCCTGCCTCAGCTGAGGTCTTGCACACTTTCACGCTTGACTCAAGCGCGTCACGTTGCTTCTTTCGTGATTGCACCACAGTCACACCACTCACAGCACCTGTCCCAGTCTCACTGGCTGACCCCTCTGGGGGCCCAGTAGTTGCGAGAGCCTCCACGGTCCTCCCTTGTCCAGCGGTCCCCTCCGGTTCTCTGTCAGGTCTCCACCTCCCCACGATCTCGACGAACTTGGTGAGCAACGCTGCCATTCAGGATGTCTGGGTTGATACCTTTATTCCTGGAGGGCAGCGTGTGGCGATCTGTACGTGCTCTCGGACTGGCCGTCACCTGGCTACGTTCACTCGACAGCCTGGGTCTAGTCTGTACACACTGACCACTGCGTCTGCACAGGTGGCTGAGTCAGGTCAGGTGGCTGCGTCGAGTCATGCATCTGCGTCGGGGCAGTTAGCTGCTTCTTGCTCGTGCAGAGTACTCACGCACGAGACTCAGCGCTGGCACCACCGTCTTGGTCACCCCTCCCTGCCGCGTCTACGCGGCATGCACTCCAGTCTCCTTGTCTCTAGCCTCCCCAGGACCCTGCCCCCCCTGCCGCGCTCGCTTGCCCCGCCGTGCCTTCCTTGCGTCGAGGGGCGGCAGCGCGCCGCTCCTCACTCCTCCGAGTTTCCTCCGACCACTGCTCCTCTGCAGACTCTCCACCTGGACGTGTGGGGCCCGGCCCCCGTCGGTGGGACGGACCTGGAGCGCTACTTCCTGCTGGTTGTTGACAACTACACACGCTACACCACAGTCTTCCCCTTGCGTCGCAAGGCGGACGTCATCGGTGTTTTGATCCCCTGGATCCGTGCTACTCATCTCCAGCTGCACGAGCGCTTTCAGCAGGACTTCCCAGTCCTGCGTCTGCACTCTGACTGGGGTGGTGAGTTCTCCTCTGGCGTCCTTGAGACGTTATGTCAGGACGAGGGCATCGCCCAGTCGTTCACGCTTCCGGCCTCTCCGCAACAAAATGGGATCGCTGAGCGTCGCATTGGCCTGATCATGGAGGTTGCTCGTACCTCCATGATCCATGCGGCTGCTCCCCATTTCCTGTGGCTGTTTGCGGTCCGATACGCCGCGCATCAGCTTAACCTCTGGCCTCGTGTCTTTGCTCCAGAGACCTCGCCCACACTCCGTTGGACGGGACAGCCTGGTGATGCATCGTCGTTTCGGGTCTGGGGCGCGCTCTCCCTTGTTCGCGATACCAAAGCGAGCAAGCTCTCTCCTCGCACTCTCCGCTGTGTCTTCCTGGGCTTCCCCACCGACGCCCCGCCCTGGCAGTTCTACCACCCTGCCTCGCGTCGTGTTCTGTCCTCTCAGGACGTCACCTTCGACAAGTCGGTCTGTTACTACCGACTTCACCCACACGCGTCCCACCCGGTCCCCCTCGCGCCTCTCTTCCTGGTACCAGTCCCCCCCCCCGGTAGACCCCCTTCCCCCACAGGGTCCTGCTCCCTCAGGTGTGTCTCAGGTAGACCCACCCTCCTTGGATGAGCCAGTGGAGATCTCTTCTGACTCCTCTGACCCAGCTGAGGGGGGTGACACCGCCGCCGACGACATGACGACCACTCGCCGCACTCCTCGCTTGGAGACCCCCCCAGGTTTCCCGCCTCACCCGTCTTCGCCACCTCTGCAGCCTGCTGCTGTGGACTCTGGAGCTGGGGCTGCTGGAGCTGGGCCTGGGGGTGGTACGTCTGGGGGTGTCCGCTCTCCTCGTTTGGCTACCCCCCCCGGTTTCCCGCCTCTGCAACCTTTTGCAGTGGACACTGGAGCTGAAACTGAGGGTGCAGGGACTGAGGGTACTGAGCCTGCGGGTGCTGGGACTGAGGGTACTGAGCCTGAGGGTACTGAGCCTGGGGGTACTGAGACTTTGGGTGCTGACTCTGGGGGTGCTGAGACTTCGGGTGCTGACTCTGGGGGTGCTGCGAGTCCTTCTGGTGGTCATGGAGCTGGAGGTACTGGAGCTACTAGGCCTGGAGGCACTACTGGAGGTACTAGAGGTACTACTGGTGCTGGAGGTACTAGAACTGCTGCTGGTGCTGGAGGTGCTGGAGCTGGAGGAACTAGAGGTGCTTCTGGTACTGGAGGTGCTCGAGCTACCACTACTAGAGGTACTGGAGCTGGACAGCCACCGCAGCCTGCTCTACTTGAGACGCTCTCGCCGCAGGCGATTCATGCGTGGGTCGTTCGGCGAGGCAGTTCTGGTGGTGGAGGGTACGGTCCTGCTGGTGCTGGAGCTACTAGTCCAGGAGGTGCTGGAGGTGCTGGAGGTACTACTGGAGGTACTAGAGGTGCTGCTGGTGCTGGAGGTACTGGAGCTACTAGGCCTGGAGGTACTGTTGGAGGTACTAGAGGTGCTACTGGTGCTGGAGGTACTGGAGCTGCTAGGCCTGGAGGTGCTGGAGGTGCTGCTGGTGCTGGGGGTACTGGAGCTGCTGGTGGTGCTGGAGGTATTGGAGCTGCTAGTACTGGAGGTGCTGCCAGTGCTGGAGGTACTGGAGCTGGAGGTACTGGAGCTGCTGGTGCTGGAGGTACTACTGTTACTGGAGGTGCTGGGGGTGCTGGAGCTGCTGGCACTGGAGGTGCTGGTGCTACTGGTGCTGGAGCTGCGGGAGCTGCTGACCCTGGAGGTGCTGGTGCTGCTGGTGCTGGAGGCGTTGGAGCAGGTGGTGCTGCTGGTGCTGGAGGTGCTGGAGGTGCTACTGTAGCTGCTGGCACGGGAGGTACTAGAGGTACTACTGGTGCTGGAGGCGCTGGAGCTGGAGCTGGAGGCACTGGAGGTACTGGAGGTACTACTGGTGCTCGAGGTGCTGGCGCTGTCGGAGCTCGTGGTGCTGGAGGTGCTGGTGCTACTGGTGCTGGAGGTGTTGCTAGGGGTACTGGAGGAGCTGCTCGTGCTGGAGGTACGGGAGCTACTGGTGCTCTTCGCCACCTTCTCGGTCTTCCGCCAGGTGCTACTGACTTCCCTGTGGCAGGTACTACTCCTCAGTTACTGTTTCCACCGATGGACCAGTCACAGCCGCCACTGCTACCACACTCCCCACTTCCTGCTCCTGCTCCTTACATTGCGGTGACACAGTCCCTGACTGAGCGTCGAGAGCCTGAGACTCGTGCTTCCACCCCTGAGCGTCGAGAGCGTGAGTCTAGCTTTGACCTTAAGCCCGAGCCTAGAGCTGCTTTCCG